GAGGCAAGATGGCGGCATAGGTAAACACCGGAGACTGCTGCCGCAAACAACCACTTCAAAAATACAACTAAAAGACGGAACGGACATCACCCAGAACCACAGGAAGGCTGGCTGAGGAGAGACTCTTCAACTAGAAGGAAAAATAACAGCACACCGAGGCTCAGAGGAGGCGCAGTGTGGAAAATACTCAGGTGCGGAGGTGCGCGCGCAAAGCGGGCTGGTGGCTGAGAGCGCGGTTGTCGTTTTCGGTCAGGGGGGAGTCTCAGACTCTGAGCTCCAGATACGGGCGAATCGCTGGGGACTCGGACCCAAACGGGAGAAGCGGGAGTGTCTGGCATCAGTTGGAAGGCAGCTTTCTCTCCGAGGTTTGCAGCGGTTCCTGGGGTTCTGAGAAGCAGAGCCTCTGGGAACGGGACTGAGAGGGGCCATAACCGCTCCCTCCGCCCGCCCTGCCCTGTTGAGCCCGCCCCGCCCAAGCCCTGCGCAGAGCCATTTGCCGGATCGCCTCAGGCAAAGGCTAGATTAGCACCTCCCCAGAGGACAGAAGTTTTCCGCGGCAGACACAGCTGATTCACACAGCCAGTCGGCCTGGTGGTCAAATCCCTCTAGTATTAACTACAACAATCAAGGCTCAACTAGAACAAGACTGCGCACAAAGACCACTAGGGGGTGCACCAAGAAAGCATAAAAAATGCGGAGACAAAAAAACATGACAGAAATGGAGGATATAGAGCTAAAAATCGCAATTTTGAGGGCTTGCAAAAATTTGCTAGAAGCTGTCAATAAACTTGAGGAGAGAGTCACGAAAACTAATGAGACCCTCGATGCTATGATAAAGAACCAACTAGAAATTAAGCATACACGGACTGAAATAAAGAATATTATACAGACACCCAATAGCAGACCAGAGGAGCGCAAGAATCAAGTCAAAGATTTGAAATACGAAGAAGCAAAAAACACCCAACTGGAAAAGCAAAATGAAAAAAGAATCCAAAAATACGAAGATAGTGTAAGGAGCCTCTGGGACAGCTTCAAGCGTACCAACATCCGAATTATAGGGGTGCCAGAAGAAGAGAGAGGGCAAGATATTGAAAACCTATTTGAAGAAATAATGACAGAAATCCCCCCCTACCTGGTGAAAGAAATAGACTTACAAGTCCAGGAAGCACAGAGAACCCCAAACAAAAGGAATCCAAAGAGGACCACAAGACACATCATCATAATTAAAATGCCAAGAGCAAAAGACAAAGAGAGAATCTTAAAAGCAGCAAGAGAAAGAAAGTCAGTTACCTACAAGGGAGTACCCATACGACTGTCAGCTGATTTCTCAACAGAAACTTTGCAGGCCAGAAGGGAGTGGCAAGAAATATTCAAAGTGATGAATAGCAAGAACCTACAACCAAGATTACTTTACCCTGAGCACTGCAGGGTCCCAGGTTCTATTCCGATACCTCAGCTGCAGGCTGGATCCCTGACCCTAGTCAGGCCGCATGTGGGAGGCAACCAATCCATGGTGTCTCTCTCACATTGATATTTGTCTCTCTGTCTCTCCCCCTCCCGTCCACTCTCTCTAAAAATCAGTGGAAAACATCCTTGGGTGAGGATTTAAAAAAAGAAAAGAATCAACCAATGAATGCATAAACAAATGAGACAAAAAATCGATGTTTCTCTCTCTCCTTCTCTCTGTCTCTAAAATCAATCAATAAATAAAAACTTAAAAAACACTGTCAGCTGATTTTTTCAACAAAAACTTTGCCAACCACAAGGAATTGGCAAGAAATATTCAAAGTGATAAGGAGCAAGAATCTACAACCAAGATTACCCTACTCAGAAAAGCTACCATTGAGAACTGAAGAACAGATAAGGACCTTCATAGACAAGAAAAAGCTAAAAGAGTTCATTACCGCCCTAACCAGTTTGGCTTGGTGGATAGAGTGTTGCCCTGTGGACTTGAGGGTCCCAGGTTCGATTCTGGTCAAGGGCATGTACCTCGATTGCGGGCACATCCCCAGTAGGGAGTGTGCAGGAGGCAGCTGATCGATGTTTCTAACTCTCTATTCCTCTCCCTTCCTCTCTGTAAAAAATCAATAAAATATATATTTAAAAAAAAAAGAGTTCATTACCACCAAACCAGTATTGTACGAAATGTAATGTCTTCTTTAAGAAGAAAATAAGAAGAGAGAAACTAAAACAAAGCAATCACTTTTACCATTGCAACAACAACAACAAAAAGATACCTAGGATTAAACTTAACCAAGAAGGTAAAAGATCTGTACTCAGAAAACTATAGGACATTGAAAAAAGAAATAGAAGAAGATAAAACAAGTGCAAGCATATTCCATGTTCACGGATTGGGAGAATTAGCATCATTAAAATGTCCATGCTACCCAAAGCAATCAATAGAGTCAATGCAATCCCTATTAAAATACCAATGGCATATTTCACAGATCTAGAGCAAATAATCCAAAAATTTATATGGAACTAAAAAAGACCCCCAATAGCTGAACCAATCTTGACAAAGGAGAACAAAGTTGGAGGGATCACAATATTGGACATCAAATTATACTACAAAGAACAGGCATATAGATCAATGGAATGGAATAGAGAGCCCAGAAATAAACCAATGTCTTTACAGTCAATTAATAGTTGGCAAAGGAGTAAAAACATACAATGCACTAAATATAGTATATTCAATAAATGGTGGTGGGAAAATTGGACAGATGCATGCCAAAAAATGCAACTAGACCACCTCCTTATACCATACACAAGAATAAACTCAAAATGGATTAAAGACTTAAATGTTAAACTCAAAATGATAAGAATCCTAGAAGAAAAAATAGGCGGCAAAATATATGGGCATTTTTAATAGCAATATTTTTTCTGATATATCGCCTCAAGCAAGGGAAACAAAAGAAAAAATAAACAAATGGGACCACATCAAACTAAAGAGTTTTTGCACAACAAGGGAAACCATCAAGATAATGAAAAGACAACCCACTGTTTTTGTGATTAATCACTATGCTTTAATTATGTTCAATTTGTAACAATGAAAATACATCCTGCATATCAGATATTTACATTACGATTCATAACAGTAGCAAAATTGCAGTTATGAAGTAGCAACGAAAATAATTTTATGGTTGGGGGTCACCACAACATGAGGAACTGTATTAAAGGGTCGCGGCATTAGGAAGGTTGAGAACCACTGCTCTAAGAGAACTTTACAATTTAGCAACAGGAAGAAAACAACCTCGTATTTTTCTTTCTTTCTTTTTTCTTTTCTTTTTTTTTTTTCCTTTTTTTTAACCTCGTATTTTTTAATGGGCAAAATTGTTGGACAGGCACTTTGCAAAAGAAGATATATATATAAATGGCCAAAAAAAAACAACAACATGAAAAGATGCTTAATAATATTAATCTTCAGGGAAATGCAAATTAAAACCACAAGATATCACCACACACCCACTAGAAGAGCTACAATGAAAAAGACTGACAATTCTATGTGTTATTGACGATGCAGAACAACTGGAATTCTAACACACTGCTGGTGGGGGTGTAAAATGATAAATCACTTTGGAAAAAAGTTGGGCAGTTTATTATAATGTTCAACATACACTTGTCATAGGACTCAGTAATCCAAGAAAAATGAAAACACATGTCAACCAAACTAAAGAATCTGGGTGGGTTCATAAAACCTACCGTCATTAATGGAAAAACAACTTGAAGGACAAGCTGTCCTGGTAAATTTCAGTCAATTTGCCTTATAGTCAGAAAACAATTTCTTTTTACCTATCACCAACTCCCACTATATGGAAAATACAGACTCAGAATGGGGCTCTGTGGGGGAGGGGGAGGTTGTGTGTGGAAAGTGAAGAGAAAGATAGTGTGTGTGCCATCAGAATTATGTTCCTGCATGAAACTGAGGGAAGGGAGGGTGCAAGTTTAGAACTAGAAAGGAACTTAGCAATGATCTGGCCCATCATTTTTTGTTAATTTGTTGTTAAGCCTCACCTGAAGATATTTTTTCCATTGATTTTTGGAGTGGAAGGGAAGGAGGGGAAGAGAGAGACAGAGACAGAGAGATGGATGTGAGAGAGACACATCAATTGGCTGCCTCCCAAAGGCACCCCCAACCAGGGCCAGGGATGGAACCTGCAACCCAGGTATGTGCCCTTGACTGGGAATGGTACCCGAAACCCTTTGGTGCGTGGGCCAATACTTTAACCACTTCATGGCACCAGCCAGGGCTCTAGTCCGTCTTGCAGACTAAGAAACAAAGGCTAGAAGAAGTTAAATAAGCCATAGCTTTTGGACAAGAACCCAGGGTATGCTGAAGCCTCGTTTAGAATCCTTTCCACCATACCACCTACGTATTTTTTTTTAATATATATATTTTATTGATTTTTTACAGAGAGGAAGGGAGAGGGACAGAGAGTTAGAAACATGGATGAGAGAGAAACATTGATCAGCTGCCTCCTCCTACACCCCCCCTACCAGGGATGTGCCTGCAACCAAGGTACATGCCCTTGACCGGAATCGAACCCGGGACCCTTCAGTCCCCCGGCCGACGCTCTATCCACTGAGCCAAACCGGTCAGGGCACCACCTACGTATTTTTTTAATGAATTGTTTAGAAAGCTAAAACAGAAAAATCAGGAGACAAGCTCTCAATAAATTTCGGAGTTCAGTGACATTGAGATTTTGCCAAAATACTAAAGACCGCCTAAGCCAGTGATGGCGAACTTATGACACACATGTCAGAGGTGACACGCGAACTCATTTTTTTGGTTGATTTTTCTTTGTTAAATGGCATTTAAATATATAAAATAAATATCAAAATATAAATCTTTGTTTCACTATGGTTGCAAATATCAAAAAATTTCTATATGTGACACGGCACCAGAGTTAAGTTAGGGTTTTTCAAAATGCTGACACGCCGAGCTCAAAAGGTTCACCATCACTGGCCTAAGCCGTAAAGGTATTTAAATATTTGCAGAGACTAGTTTAACTAGGTCTAGTATTTCCTAGGGGCACACCTCCCTTATTTATGTTTCTCAATTAAAAAGTTGAAAAAAACAAGAAGTAGACCGGCCATGGGTTGCACACAGGCACACATTCAACCCTTGATCATTTCATTCCTCACTCTGCAGTATTTTATGAGTGTCCACTATGGATCAAGTACCCCGCCAGGTACTAGGAATCCACAGGACAAGGTTCTGGCTAGCTCAGAACTCACAAGGGAAGACAGTATGTTAAAGTGGTGATTACATTAAAGTGTGTTAAGTATTAACATTGGGGAAATGCCAGATTCTATAGATTTATCCCTAGAGAATAAGTCCAGCTGTTTCTCTTCTGTTATTCCTGGGCTGCCTCTTTATTCCATCATTTGAGTTCCCCAAACACGAACTCTTCTCAATAAAACACTTAAAACAACAAACATTTCCTGAGCACTTCCTGGTGTGCCATACATGGTGTGAACTTCTGCAAGAGAATTCCAAGGTAAACTTGTAATGTAAAATGCATTTTATATGGGGACAAAATTATTTTGGATTATATATGACTGTTAAAATTAGTGCCACTTGACAAGCACAGGTGATCTCAGAAGTAATTTGATATGTCTTGAAACTTTAGGCTCCCAGGTTTTCATAGTATTAACAGGTTTTGTCAACAAAATTAAATCCCCTGATCATTTTTGGGGTGCTACTGTATTCTGGGCACAGGTATGAATGACTCCCATCCTTCCTTAAAGGGTCAGCTCAGTCCAGCCAGTGTTGCTCAGTGGTTGAGCCTGGACCCATGAACCAAGAGGTCACTGGTTCGATTCTGGTCAGGGCACATGCCCGGGCTGCAGACTCCATCCCCAGTAGGGGGCCTGCAGGAGGCAGCCTATGGATGTTTCTATCTCTCTACCATTCTCCCTTCCTCCCTCTCTAAAATCAATAAAAACATTTTTTTTAAAAGGGCCAGCTCAGAGCACTACTCTACATAGCCCTCCTCTCTACCCTTAACAGATCTCGAGTTTCTGTAGCATATATCACAGTAGAGGCCCGGTGCATGAAATTTGTGCACGGGTAGGGTCCCTAGGCCTGGCCAGCAATCAGGGCTGGTCGGGCCTTCCTTCCCCAGCTGCCAGGTGCCAGCCAGGGCCTTCCTTCACTCCACACCACCCCCTGGTTGTCAGCGCATGTCATAGCAAGCGACTGAACTCCCAGTCTCCTGATTGAACTCTGAGGGGACACTTTGCATATTAGCCTTTTATATATATACTAGAGGCCCGGTGCACAAAAAT